TCCCCCGCCCCCACCGTGGACCAGGAACCATGTTGTGGCGTTGACCACAGAGGAGGAAGGCAGTGTCTGTCCCCGTGGCTTGTAATTTAAAAGGAGCAAGACAAAATTAGTAACAGGATAATAGCCAAATACACTGTGTTTTAGCTCTGTGTTTAAGTGTCCAAAGCATTTAAATACTGCTAAATTTGATGCTTTGATGGTCTTGTAAGTTAGACAAATATGTATCATCCCATTTCATGGGCCAGGAAAGACCTAAGCAGATCAATTCAGTGAAGCAAATTAATGCAGCATTGATGGTATACATAGTTTAAAGAGTGCTGAAAGAAGTTGTTGGAGAAAGAAGCGGCGTCAGATCATGTGCTTTGATGCTGTGCTAAAACTCTTACCTTGTATCCTGTATGGTTGGAGAGTGAGTGAGTGATGTGTCTTCATGTAGACACTTTTTTATATTTTGAGACAGGGTCTCACTGTGCAATTCAGGCTGGCCTTGAGTTCATGATGTAGCCCCAGCTGGACTTACACTTGCAGTGATCCTCCTGCCTCAGCTTCTCAAATGCTGAGATTACAGAAGTGTACCATCCAGCTCAGCCAAGATAACACACTTGGTGGGTGGTTTGCTGAACTCAGAGCTGAGCGGAAATATATATGTGCTCTGAATTACTTGTGTTCTGAATTACTTAAAGGAATTTTAAGTCATGGGGAGGTTTATGAGGCAGAGACTTTAGTTTGTTTTTGGGACAGGGTCTCACTATGTAGTCCAAGCTAGTCTTAAACTATGTAGCCTATGCAGGCTTCAAACTCATAGAAGTCTTCTTGCCTCAGCCTCCCAAGTGCTGAGGTTATAGGTGTGTGCCACCAGGCCCACTGAGGCAAAGATTTTAGGTTGCACTCAAAAGTGGCCACTCAAGAAATGCGACACATTATTTCTTGAAACAGGGAACATTTATGCTTCTTTTGAAGGGGTGAAAACTCCAGAAGGCAGTCTACTCTAAGGACATGTCCTAGCTCATTATCATACTACAGGTATGGTCACAGTGTTTAATTTATGTACTTATCAGGAACTGAACTCAGGACCTTGTCCTTGCCAGGAAGGTGCTAGGTGGGTAAGCTATGTCCCTGGCCCCTGGCCCCTGGCCACAGTCTTTTTTAAAAATGTATTTGGTTGTTATAGAGTCTCACTACACAGCTTGGATTGATAGTAATCCTCTTGTTTTCAGCTTCCCCAGTGCTGGGATTACAGGCATTTGCCACTACGCCTACACTCTGTGTCCGGCTCAGCCCACCGTGGAGGTGAGACCGGCATGGCCTGTGGTGCTGGGGAACAAACCTTGGTTCCTGCACTTGCCTAACGGTGTGCTTTAATCCGCTGAGCTATCTCAGCCTGTTTTTTGCTTTTTGTAATTTAAACTTTGAATTCTCTCAACCTATTTTTAATCTGAGGATCACTCTGCTGCTTGTTATTTCCTCAAGCCAGTTTATGGGCTTTAAGTATTCCTGAGGAATTTTGGATGTGATAGGTCCTGTAGGAAAGGAGCCCAAGTTTAACCAAAGGAATGTGGATATGGATACTTGAAGGACCTTCGCAGTCATCACAAATCACTGCGATCAGAAGTGGCAGGTTCTTCTTTGTCTTCCCCTGCCTTTCTTTTCTATTGTCTTGATTACCATGCTGCCAAGCCTGAGATCCTAAATTTGTCTTACTTTCTCATTGCTGGGACAAAATGCCTGACACCTGCAAGGAGGACAAATTTACTTCAGCTCACAGGTTATGGAGGTTTTAGTTCCTAGTTGTCTATCTCTAAGGCAGGGCAGCATGCCAGGGAAGGAACAGTTTGTGGCAGGGCAGGCAGAAGGCAGCAGTCCTCCTGCTTTTCCTTTTTATTCCATCCAGATTACAAGCCTGGTGGTTGGTGCCGGAGCCAGGATCAATCTTCTCTCATCAGTAAATCCATCACCCACACCCAGAACTATGATAAACAGGGGCTGGGGAGATGGCGCGCTAGAGTTCCCTGGCAAGTGCAAGGGCCTGAGTTCAATCCCCAGTTCCAGAAAACAAACAAAAAACAAAAAACAAAAAACAAAAACCCAGAACTATGATAAACCAAAGGTGGACTAATCTGGTATCATACATCTGTGATCTGGTCACTCATAAAAGCCTCACCTGAGTACATGAGGCTTTGGGACGACATTAACATACAACCTGTAACAGTCTTTGCATCTGCAGGCTTCTGCTGCTTCCTGTTGCCATTGTAGTGTTCAGTGCCATAGAAACCAGTGGGTTTGTTGTTTGTTTTTGCAGTATTGGGGATCAATCTTGGGACTTTGCACTTGCCAGGCAAGCACTTATGCTGCTGAGCTATCTTCCCGGGCCAGTATTTGGTTTTAATTATCAGGATGGTGCCTTGGGAAGGGTGTACAGAGGAGGAAGGCAAGTTGCCAAGAGGAGCCCAATCTTGGCTATCTCACACTGGTACCAGTCTAACTGGTGAGGTTCTTTTTTCTTTTCTTTCTTTTTTTTTTTTTTTTAATGTATATTGTGCAGGGTCTCACTATGTAGCTCAGACTCATAGTGATTGTGTTTTCAAGCTTCCCAGCATTGGGATTACAGGTGTGTGCCACCATGCTGGGACTTGGTTGCCCAGCGCGCTTGGGGGCGGGGCCAATGCTGCATGTGGTGCCAGGGATTGAACCCCCTACCTGTACTTGCCTAAGTAGGCGCTTAGCTCACTGAGCCATCTCACTGGACCTGGTATTTCTTTTTAACAAAACTAAAATTGGTCTTTACTACATGTGGGGGAAAAGCAGCTTCTCCCATCTTAGGTTAATAGCCAAGTCCTATGACAAGAAATTAGTAAGAAGAAATTTATTTCATGTTAAGTTTCCTATGACATGGGAGCCTCAGGAAATGACCCAAAGCAGTATGGAAATTTGCATCTTGTGTTTGGGTTTTAAGAGGCATCCTGGGGCAAAGAGGTGTGCTCAGTGTTGACAATGGGGACACTCAGCAAGGCCTATCCAGATTCTTCTGTGTCCCTGTATTTCAGACATAAGGATGTTCCTTTCCTGATGTACATACAGTAGGAGCACTCTCATGAGAGGCTTATGGCCTACCTGCTCAGAGAACGGCAGAAGGTTGGAGAATAAACTTTTTCTTCTGTCTTAAATGCCAAGGTGCTGTAGTTTGGGGTAGTGTGCGGTCTCGTTTTTTTCTCATTGCCCAGACAAAATACCCAACATCCAAAGTTACCCACCAGTCCCTCCTCAACATGACTACTCGACCATCTCTTACCCATCTCCTATTAAGGTAAAACTGACAGGAGGAAATGCAGAGCTTTAGGTGCTGTATGGTTCAAAGCCAAGCTGCAAAGATCTAGATAAATCCCATGGTTGAAAGAAAGACAGACAGACAGACAGACAGACAGACAGACACAGTGGCCATGAATGTGCACAGACCAGCTTCCAGAGATGTCAACACCCAACACAATTGCCTCCCACATGGGGATTACTCAACCAGTGTTTATTTTATTTCTACAAAGATGTAATGAAAGTTGGCTATGTATCTGTTATGGTGCACACAATGGGAACTTGACCAAGGTCTCTTCTGTGAAGACACTTAAGCATAGCTCCATCAAGGGGGAATGCACATCCCTGTAATCAAATACTACTAGTTGAGGGCAGGCTGGGCTACATAGGTCAGCAGACTCTGTCTCAAACAGAAAAATGGTTTCCCCAACAGAGCATGGTGTAATTCAGCACTTGAAAGGCTGAGGCAGTATTGCTACGAGTTTGAGGCCAGCCTATGCTGCGTGGTGAGTTCAAGACCAGCCTGAACTATATCATGAGACCCTGTCTCAAACAAACAAGGAAGCAAAAAAAGAAAAAGAAAAAGCGAAATGCTCAGGAGAAAGTTATGAACACAAAACCATTAGGCAGAATAAACTATTCTAAACAGTCTACACACAGGAGTGGGGAGGGAAAAAGATAAAGAAATGATCCAGCTCTCAGGAGGTTGCACTGAGAAGTCAGAAAGTAGCCACCTGCTGGGCTAACAGGGCAGACAACCCAAGAAAACAGGTGACATGCAAGACATTGTTAGTTGGAGCTTTTCAATGTTTGGACCATGAAGTTCAGGCCAGCCAGTTAAATCACCCAAGGCCTCCGCAAATAACCTATGGTCAGTGGTCAGGCAGTAGAGCAATTGCAAGCCCTAGGGCCAGACTTCTCCTGGTTCCCTGGGTGGCAGCGGGGAGGGCAGAGTGGACAAAGAGTGGACAGGAGACATCTCCCTCCGAAGAGACTCCGCAATGGACAAGGAAAAGACAAGTGCTCATGCTAGGTAGGGCGTGCAGATAAGCGATGCAGATGCTCTGGGCCAGCATCTCTCCGTACCTCAGGCTAGGCTGGTTCCTTTACACTGGGTTGCTCATAGTAGGCTCGGAGCCCCAGCAAGAAAACGTGAACTCGGCGGTGAACAATTAGCCACTGCGAGGAGGGTGCAGGACGCGGGGTGTGGGCTAGGGACGCGGGTCTGCAGCGTCAGGAGCAAGGAGGACACAGCAGAGCCGCGTTAGGGCGAACCCGGGAACCGACTGAACAAAGTGTAAAGGCCGCGTCCACCACAAGCATCTTCTCGGACGGCGGACGCCTCTCCAGTCCAAAGCCTGCATCCACGCCATGGACGGCCAGGTCTCTCCTGGCAAACGAGAGGGGCACTTCGCAGTTTCAAGCTTTCTCCGAAGCTCAAACCTCAGGAAGGTCCCGGATCAAAGTCACCGGATGCCAATCCACCCTTACTCAAATTTTTACGTCACCGCTTTGCGCCGTCTCCTGTTGGCCACGCCCCACAAAACCGGCAACCCCTCTTTGACGTCATCTCATAGCGCCAGTTTCGCTCTGACTACACCTGCAGGTCGGCTCCTCACTTCGCGCCCCACTCCAGCTCCAGCCACACCCGCTGCCTGACCTTGTGTTTTGACGTCATCACTATGCGACTGCCCGCCCCTTGCGTCTTCAAGCTTTAGGCGCGCGAGGGCTGTTCTACTGTCCTGGACCTATCCCACGTTGGTTTGCTGCAACTTCCTTCGATCATGTTCCCGGCCATCCCTTCTCCACGGACCCCAGGTCCCGGATCCCGAAGGGTCCCTCTGGTCGGAATTGGCCCAAATTCAACGCCCCGAACGGGAAGCAGGAGGGGGCAATCCTTGGGTTCTGCGGTCTTCTCCCCGGTGCTCTACTCCCCGGTATCACGGCGCAGCTCTCTCAGTTCGCGGTGAGTGATCGCCACTGGCTGGGTTAGGAGACCAGCAGACTGCACCGCGAAAATGGTCAGTTAGTGGGACCCGGGTAGCGCGGGGAGGTCTGCTCGATTTTGCAAGGTATGCCACTTTCGCATTGATCGTTATCAGGTGTACCCTCACTTTGTATTTTATGTGTGTCGCAAAAGAATATTCCAGCAAATTTAGTTATATACTAATTATAATTAGCTTTTCATTTGTGATTTACGAATCTGTGCAGCCTTCACTGTACAGTATAGATACGTTATTATATGTGCTGCCGAAGCGAGCGCGACTGCAGTAAGATACTGGCAGTAGCTGAACAGTGTTTTGTAGGGTGGATACAAGGAAACAGAACAATAGACCAAAAACAAAACAGAATGACTCATTAGCATCAAGTTACCCCCGGTTGCCTTGTTGTAAGGTAATGCAAAGGGGATTTTTATTTTTATTTTTTTTTTTGCCTGGGATCTCCAGTTTTCAGATAATCTTGATCATTTGGGGATCTATTTGCCTCCATGAAGCTTCAATTTGATGATGTAGTATTTGCTATAAGTGATTTCATTTTGGTCTGGTTAATTGGAAACTACTTTAGGAGCTCAGTCCAAAGCAGTACTCGCCAATAATTTTTAATTTAACAACTTCCACCTTTTGGTTAGGATCTTACCTAGATGTGACTAAAACTAAGGGCATTAGTGCTACTCTTTATTATCCTGGGGTTCCAGTTTCATCATGTCATTTAATATATAAATTATATTTCTTTGGATTTCTGTCATTCCATCTGAACACAGAAATTTCATATTTGATGGATAACTACATGAAAACATTTAAAATGTTTGGGAGAATACACTGTACCAGGAAAACTACTGTTGTAATAGAATAGTTCATTCCAAGGGTGGAATGAACCAGATGAGTACTTTTTAACAGGTGGTTTAATATATATATATTTTTGGCAACTGAGTTTCTATAGTAGCCAATGTATCCATGTTCAACAGAAAATGTTAGCGATTATGCAGATTCCTCCTTGTTCAGATAGACGGTAGCAGCTCTTTCCCTGGCAAGCGCAAGGGCCTGAGTTCAATCCCTGGTTCCACAAAAAAAAATTAAAGCAGGGAATGAGAACAAATGGGTCTACAAGTCTAGCTATAAAAGAGACCACCAGTACAGCTTGAATTCAGTTGTCTTGGATGTTGCTAAAGGATCTATCTCTGTCAGTCTACTGTCCATCTGTCTGTCCGTCCATTGGTCTGTCCGTCTCTCTCTCAGCTGAAAATACAAGGATCACTATGAGTCTGAGCTATGTAGTGAGACCCTGTACTATATACAGAAAAAAAATAAAGAGTAGGAAAATTTAGCCAAGAATAACAAGAGCTCCTGAAGGACAGGAGGGGTCCACAAGGTTCTCTTAAGTCATGTAAACATTTGGGTTTGACGTGGTACTCAGTCATGTTACCCCAAAAAATTACTGATTGTGAAGGTCTAATTACAGTACTGTCCTTTCTAGTGAAAACAGTAGGCATAAGCAAGGAAGAATGAAGAGCACTTAAGCATGTCATGACAATGTAGTCATATTTCAACAATTTGGGAAAAGCTGACATGAAATTGTTGAGATCCCCACTCCCAATCTTTTTGAGACAGGATTTTACGCTGCAGTTCAAGCTGGTTTTGAACTCACTTTGTAGCCCAGGCTGGCCTCGAACTCTCAGTGGTCCTCCTGTAGTTCTTATCCTGGTTTTTGAGATAGGGTTTTGCCATGTATTTCAGGCTGGCCATGAACTTACTATGTAGTGTAAGCTGATCATAAATTTGTGGAAATCCTTCTGTCTCAGCCTCCCGGGTGTGAGGATTATAGGTGTATGCTACCAGTTCCAGCTGTGGTTAAAGTTTGAACATCTCTGGTCATACATAGTATTATGTGGCTTGGTACACTCACATCAGGCATGATGCTTGTCCCTTGAATTTACATTGAGTTGTGTAGCTTTGGCTTACAGGAAGTCATGAGCCGAACAATTTTTACTGTTAGTGATTTCACTGGAAAAGCCTTAGAAAATTTAGGGTTCAGTTAGGCTTGGTGGTACATACCTTTTATTCCAACACTCTGGGAAGCTGAGGCAGAAGCATCTCAAGGTCCAGCCTGGCCTAGGCAACACAGGGAGACTGTTTCAAAATAAAACAATTAAAAGGGGCTGGGATGTAGCTCAGTGCAAAGGTCCAGGGTTCATCCCCAGCCTCTGTACTCCCCTGATTTCTAGGTATCTTATACAGTGTTTGGAACACTTATATCAATAGCAGTCATAAATGTATCTATAAGAAGATTGACTGGCACTTACAGTACTTCCTATATAACTTAGTGTTTCTTTTACCAGATGAGAAATACATCCTTTGTGGTTTTTTCCTGAGGCTCAACTAGAAAAATCCCAAAGTTAGTTCAAGGTCAGAAAGATTTGATGTAGAATTTAATTTGGGGAAGTTTGTCAAAAATTAAAACAAATATCTAGGTTGTTGCTTTAGTCAAGGTGACAAAGATTTTAAAGGTAGAGATAAAAAGTTACTAATTGTGAGCAAAACCTCAGTTCATTTAAACAGTTAAAATGACTCAAAACCAGAGAGACAAGGGGAAACACAAGAAATTATCTTGAGAAAACATGAAGTTTTTGTTTTGTAGGCTAATTATTATTATTATTATTATTAACCTAATTATTTAAAAGGAAAAAGCTTCACATTCTCGGGTCAATACTACAAGAGTCACTGTCTTTTTTTCTTTCTTTTTTTTTTTTTGGTATGGGGACGCAAACTCAGGACCTTGCACTTGCCAGTGCCAAGCAGGTGCTTATGCTGCTGAGTTATCTCCCAGGCCCCATAAGACTATCATTTTAACAGAGAAAATAAAATTCTACTTCTGTCTCAGTATATGAATACTAAAGCTGATGTTATTCAAACCTGATTAGTAAGTCTGTGCCGTCCCAGTTGGCAATAACTCCACAAGATTTCCACGTGTGTTGTGTAGCTCTCTTATACATTTAGATTTTGTTTGTACCTCTTGTCTTTCTCATTTTGGACAAACCAGTTGCCCTGTGTTAGGATCGTAATTACTCTTTTGCTAAAGCATGGCTTCTGTACCTCATAGCTTTACTTAGCAAAAACATATCTTTCCTTGCAGGTGGGCTTGTTTCCCTCATTGTTTGAAGCCCTGTGACATTAAATAGAGGTCTTACTGTGTAGTAATCTTATTTTCTAGTGAAAGCATAGGATATAAGTTTGTTTTATACCAACATTTTGTTGTTGCAATTGCTTTTGGTGGTGGTGTTTTGCTGAGTCAGGGTTTTGCTATGTAGCCCAGGCTGGCTTTTTTTTTTTTTTTGGTGGCCCGAAGATTCTTTGAGGGCATTTCTGGGTTCCTGTGAGAAACTGGGTTCGAACCAGAGCATCTTGAGCCTGACTGCTTTGTTTAGCAGGCACTTAAACAACTGAGCTAATGAGCAGGCCCCCCCCAGGCTGGCTTTGAGCTTTTCTTTCTTTCTTTTTTTTTTGGCAGAACCGGGGATTGAACTCAGGCCCTTGTGCTGCCAGAGAAGCACTTATTCCTCTGAGCCATCTCCCCAGCCCCTGCCTTTGAGCTTGAAGTGATCTGCCTCTCAGCTTCCTGAGGGCTGCACTTGCAGCCACTACACCTGTCTTTTTGTTTTTATTTTATTTATGTATTTATTTATTTTTAATCTTTTTCTTTATTTGGTACAGTATCTCTCTATGCAGCTCAAACTCATAGTGATCCTCCTTTCTCAGCCTCCCCAGCACTGAAGTTATATGCGTGTGCCACTATGCCTGGTTTTGGTGGCCAGCTTGGTGTGGGGCTGGCGCAGCATGTGGCACCAGGGATTGAACCTGGATCCTTATGCTTGCCAAGCAGGCACTTAGACCGCTGAGCTATCTCCCTGGTCCATGTTTTTAAATAGGACTGTACCACTGTGTTCAGCTTGTCATGTTAACATGCACGGTGTGCTTTATAAGGATGCATTCTTGAAGCTGGCAGGTGGCCTAATGTCCCTAACCTGTTTGTGTCCCCTTTGTCCTAACAGAGGATTCCTAGGTTTTGGAGGCAAATACGTTTCATAGCTCTTAAAATGCGTGTCCTCTGTGCACCAGAAGTTGTGACTTTGGCTCTGAGGTCCCCTGTACTAGCCTAGCCAACAGTTTTCTCTAGTTCAGCACATTAGAAGAAGAATGAAGAACCTCAACACATTAAAACAAAGAATGTAGAATGTACAATCTCTGACTTCTGAAGCTGGTGTTTCTTTTTTGGAGGTGCCTTGATGTAGACCTCAAGTCATGACAGTAATGAGAACCTCCAACCCTGGGAGAATTGTTGCTTCATGCCTAAGATACTACATGTTCTTAGTTATCTGCTGAATTGTAAATAAAAGGCTTTTGGCTATAGAATTTCACCTTGTAGCCAGGTTATAGCAAAGAGGCTCTCACAGTGAGGTAAGAGTAGTGGTTTTGTTACTAAAACTACTGAAACACCAACCTACATTCCAGCAGAATCACGGTTCCTGTTCCTGGACTTCATGGTGACCATGAAATTTCAAAGGCAGGAAACATCTGCTTATGAATACTTTCCTTTGGGTTCATCTTTGAGAAGAGACTTTTTCCCAGCAGGAAAATGCAAATGTTGAATAAACATATGATTAAAATTTATCTATAAAAGTTAGCAGTACTTTAAAGGAGAATTGATTTTTAGAGAATACATTATGTTCTTTTATATTTTGAAAAATATCCTTCAAAAGCTAATACTGTGTTTGTTTCTTTTGAGAAAAGTCAGAATGAAAGCCATGCTTTACATAAAGTGTAAGTGTTGTTCTTCAAAATATTTTCCTATCTTCTAGTGATAAATTAGAGAAAACCTTTGTTAGGGTCCTGTGTCAGGAGACAATATCCCTGACAGGTTGGTCTGTAGTGAGATCAGCATCAGGTGCTGGAATCATGTTCATTTTTTGCTTTTATTTGCTGTTTAGATCTGGTGGGCCTTGCAGTCTCAGAGCTGGATGAGACCTTAAGGATCACTTGTGGAAAGTCTGTGGCATCGTGTGGCCTAGAGGCTATGTTTTACTTTTCAAAAGTACTATTGAGACCCTCCAACTGGTTCTCAGTTTGAAAAACACTGATTTTAATCTAACTTTCTTATTTTACCTGTAAGGATTAGAGTGATGATTTTAAGTGAATAAAGGTATTTTGTTTTGTTTTGTTTTGTTTTTTAACATTTTATTTTATTTATTTATGTGTGTGTGTGGCCAGCTCAGCCCACCAGGGGGCGGGGCTGGCTGGCATGTGGTGCTGGGGGATTGAACCGCGGTCCCTGTGCTTTGCTAAGCTTGTTCTAAGTAGGTGCTTTAGACCACTGAGCCATCTCACCAGCCTGAATAAAGGTATTTTGGTCTTTTGGTTTTTGGTTTTTTTGAGACAGGGTCTTAGTATATAGTACAGGCTGGCCTTGAACTCACTTATATTGCTCAGGCTGGCCCCAAATTCTTGTGGTAGTTCTGCTTCAGCCTCCAGCATGCTGGGATTATGGGTGTGTACCACCATGCCAGGACTCCAAAGTGAAGAAAGGTATGCACATGATTTCTGAGCATAAATAGGGCCTAAAACCTTGTTTCCCTAAGTATTGTCACTATTTTCTTTTTCTTTTTTTTTTTTTAAACTATTTTCTTTTTAAAGTGAAAAATACACTTTAAAACGTATATATGAGCTAATGTTTTTTTTTTTTTTTTTTTTGCAGTGGTACAATTCATTTTCTTGTTTATTGGAAGTCTTTATATAAATAAATACATAAAAACTAGAATATTATTGAATTTTAAGTTTGAAGTAATATGATTTCTGTTCTTTAGAGGAACACCTACACGGATATTACCACATCACTCCATAACTGAGTCAGTGAACTATGACGTGAAAACATTTGGATCATCTCTTCCAGTTAAAGTCATGGAAGCCCTGACATTGGCAGAGGGTAAGTGGTGTCTTCTTTCTTTTGTTTTTAGATGTATTTAGTACGAGGTCTACAGGATCTCACTACACAGCTTGGATGCGTAGTGATCCTTGTGTTTTCAGCCTCCCAAGTGCTGGGATTACAGGCACGCTACTAATCTCAATCTCTCAATCGCTGTCTCTGTGAGCCTTGGCAGCGGGGCCAGCACAGCTGAGTGGCATCTTTCTCTTTACCTCTATTAGCAAATCAAAACTAGGCCTGGCCTAGCGTAAGACAGTGACATTTGAGCTTTTTCCTAGATGGGAAGAATAGGTAGCTAGTTCAGTTCCATTTTATAGTTGATCAGGCATAGGGAGTTTAGTTCTTTTTTTTTTTTTTTTTTT